CCAGGTGCAGCACGGCCAGGGTGCGGGGCAGGCCGGCGGGCACGGCAGCCAGCTGGTTGTGGGACAGGTCCAGGTACTCAAGACAGTGCAGCTTGCTGGCAGGAGAGAGAGGGCCAGCGTGGGGCTGGGCACCCAGAATGGGGGGTCAGGGGGATCTTGAGGGTAGGGAGTTGAGGAGGGGTCCTGGGAGTTGTAAGCTGGAGATTCCAACTTGGGAATGATGAGCTGAGAGACCAGAGCAGAAGGTAAACGTGGGGTGATCAGGGCAGATTCCAGTCTGAGGGTTAGAGGTGGGGGTGACCAGGACAGAGTCCTGGGTCTGAGATCTTCTTGTGGCAGCTGTGACATCGGGTAATAAGACCATGGCATAGGGTGCCTCCAGGTGCTTGGCTGAGCCTGGCACATAGCAGGCGCTCACCAAGTGAGGCCTTGAGTCAGGAATCTTAGCGGGGAGATGGAGGGCTGGGGTCCCAGACTCTGAGTCCTCATCCTCTCCTGCCAACATGAGGCTGCACTCCCAACCCAACCTGTCCCAGGCCCCACCTGAAGGTGGTGGCATCCAGGCCACTGTCTGCCAGCCGGTTGTGCTGGAGGTAGAGCTCACGGAGGTGGGTCTGGCGGCTTAGGGCTCCTCGGGGCACCTTGGAGATGAGGTTGTCCTGGGAAGGGAGAAGAGAATGAGACTGAGGGTCCAGGATAGAGGGCAGCAGGGAGCCACGGAGGGTTCTAGAGTAAGGGAGGAGGAGCTCGCCTGAGCACATCTGCTCAGAGAGCACCTGTGTATGACCCATGCACAGGGAAGAGACTTGGAGAGAGACATTTCCTATGGCCGGAATTGTGAGGAGGTGGAGGGGTCCCCTAGGAGAGAGGTGCAGGGGGCCCGAGGAGGTGGGGACACGGGGGTGGTGAGGTGAAGGAGGGGTACCTGCAGGTGGAGTCGCTCCAGCGAGGGCGGCAGGCTGGGCGGCACATAGCTGAGCCGGTTGCTGGAAAGGCTGAGGGTGGTGACTGCCTCGGAGCCGCGGAAGGCGTCGGGGGGCAGGCCGGCATTGCTCAGCTGGTTGTTGTGGAGGTACACGGACCTGAGGGGAGCCAGGCTCCGGCCACCAGCCTGGCCCTGGCCTCCCCACCACCCTGCACCCCAGGTCAGGGCTGCCTTCAGTGTGGGGGTGTGAGTGTGTGTGTGCTCCCTCCACTTCAGTCTGGAATTCTCCAGACAGAGCATCCAGGGTCCTGTCTCCCCTCCAGATCCCTGCAGAGTGGGCTCACGATCCCCCTCGGATCCCCAGGGTAAGGAGTGATCCCAGGCATGTCTGAGACCCCAGGGGGACCTGGGCTGGGCCAGGGGCTACCTGAGAGCCGGCTTCTCCCCAAAGGTGAGCGGGAAGATCTCTGTCACTTCATTGGCAGCCAGATCAGCAACACGGAGGGAGCGGGGCAGAAATTGGGGAGCCACAGAGAGCTGCGGGAACACAGCTGCAATGGTCCAGGTGGTCCCCTTCCAGCCCCACGCTGTCCCATCTGCACCCCTCCTGGGCTGCACCCCTGCCGGGCCAGGCCTGGGCAGGGGATTCGAGGAGTTGGGGTGAGGAGGGGGCTCACCTTGTTGTGGGCCACGTAGATGTGCTGCAGCTGGGTGAGGGACTCAAAGGCCTCATCCGGCAGGCCTGTGAGTGAGGTGGGCGGTGAGGGGACCCCAGTCCTGGTGGGGGAGGGCAGGGGAGAGCCTGTGCTCCCATCCAGCCGGGGACTGGCAGAGGTTCCTCCGAGCACTGCCCCTCCTTGTCCTCAAAAGCCACAGCTCCCACCCCCACCCCCTGAGTTTCCATCCTGCTCAGCAAAGGGCAGTTCTGGGAACTACCGCAGAGCTGCCCACAGACCAAGCCACAGAGAGAGGGCAGCGGGGACCGTGCTGGGGAGAGGCGGCCTCCCGTTGTCCCCCTCACCCTCGGAGGAGATGAGGTTGTTGTGGAGGTTGAGGGTCCGCAGACCACTGAGGCGTGACAGCTCGTTGTAGGGGAGCTCCTGGAGCTGGTTGTTCTGTGGGGCAGGGTGGGGGCACTCACACCCTGACGCCCGTGACCCTGAGCCCTCAACAGATGACCCCGAGCTCTGAGTCTCAGCTTCCCATCATCCTAAACAGTGAGCCCCAAGGCCCCATCACCCCATACTCGATCCGAAATGCCTTGTTACCTCTTTATCCAGTAACAGCCCAGTAACCAAAAAGACATTAGCCCCCCCACACCCCATCCACCCCTACAGTTGACCCCAAATGCCCCATCAAACCAATCCTAAGCAACTCCTAATCACCAAGACATCCACCCCTAAACTCTCAGCCCCTCTCCCACTTCCAACATCTGTACCCCCGCCTCCTCTCACCTCTGACATACAGTCCCCTGCGCTCTCAAGGCCAGCTTTCACCAGTGCCAAGACCCACATGCCCAGTGCCTCATCCCTGCACAGGGACCCCACGCCCCAACACCCTCAACTCCAGCACTTCCCATTCTCCTCCCTGCTTCCCCTGGGTGCTACCCTGCACCCCCAGGCCCCACCTGCAGGGAGAGGTGCTGAGCTGCCCTGGTGATATTGTCCGGGAACACCCGCAGGTCCAGGCCATCGCAGTCCACTGTGTCAGCTCGGGGACAGGAGCAGCGTGGGGGGCAGGCCCGGGGCGGGGGCTGCGAGCTCTCCCCTAGGTGGGGGAAGGAGGCGTCCTCCATGCCGAGAGTGGGTGGGTGGCCAGGCAGCAGCAGGAGCAGCAGCAATATGCTCAGCCGCTGGGAGTTGAGGGACGGGTCAGGGTGTCCTCAGATGGGCACTGGGTCACCATGGCAACAGGAGCATCCCTACAGTGGGGTGGGTGGGCAGGCAGGCCCCACCCTCAGACCCTCCCCTGCCCTACCTTACCATAGCCAGCCTCAGCTCTGCCGTCTTGCCCGAACTTCTGACCAGGGCTCCCTAATGGAAACCAGGCGGTCACCTCCTGGAGGTTCTGCTGTGGCCACCACCGCCCCCCATCTCTCGGCACAGGCCACCCTCCCCCCAGCCTGTTCTCCCAGGGGCTCAGGGAAGCTGGCCCACCCTTTCCCCGCCTTGCAGAGGGCGGGCAGGCGCCAGATGGGGTGGTGAGGACAGGCCAGCCCATCCCCTCCGTCCCACCCGCCTCCCCCCACCCTCCGCGCCCCTCCACCACCCCAGCTCTGCTTGCGTAACCTCGGCCAGCCTGGGCCGGGCCACAGGAGCAAAGAATGTTTGGGGGAAAGCTGAGATTCGCCCTGTCTGGTATTTGGGCCGACCGCAGGAGTAGGGGTGGGGGCAGAGGAGTGGAGGACACTTCAGGGCACAGGAGAGTCCTCAAGGAACTGGGGCTGGCAGCGAGGGGTCAGGGCAGGACTGGGCTCAGCCTGCCAGTCCAGACACCAGCCTGGGAGCTCCCAGCCAGGTCTGCCATCTAGGCCTCTCCTCCCCCACTGCCCGCTGGCCTCACTGGCAGTGAGATTCCCCCCTCCCCAAATGGCCACAGCTGCCGCCCAAAGGAAATTACACGTATTGAGGCACCAGCCCTGTGGTTAAGGATGTGCACTCAGGGGCAGCCTGCCTGGGTTTGAACCTGGGCTCTGCCACCTCTCTGGCCTTGGTTTCCTGCTCTGCAAAGTGGGGGAATGGTTGTCTCGCCTCTCGGGAGTGGTGTAAGGATTAAATGGGATGATGCATCAGAAGTAGGTGAGACAATGAATACCCGGCAGCCCCAGGCCCTCAACAGCAGAGTGACATTGTGTGCAGAGGGGTGAGGAAGCCTGTCTCTGCCCAAAGTCTGATCCCCGGAAATGCTCCACTCACCAGTACGGTGACTTCAGACAAGAAGTTTTCCTGCCCGAATATCAGCTTTTCCACGTATAAAATAGAGATGACAGAAGACCCTTCCTCTAAAGGCTGTCACAAGGCAAAACCAGAAAGTTCTCAGCACAGAATCTGCCCCTCCCCCCGTGCTCAGCTTGGCTGCTCGAAGGGCATGAAGGAAGTTGGGATCTCTCAGAAAAAGACTGAGATGAGGATTGAGTGCATTTGTCCTGGAGACAGCAGCTATAGGGGAGCAGCAATGTGGCAGAGGGAAGGAAGGGAGCAGTCAAAAATCAATGAGTTATCACAAGTGAAATCAACTTGTCTGGAACTTGCCAGTTCTAGACCTCAAAATCCTACACCCCATGGACCCTCAGTCCTGGGCAGGTTGGGATTGTTGGTCACTCTCGTTATCAAGCAAATTCCTGCCATAGGCAGCTGGGGTTCAGTCCTGCTGGGGAACACTGGGAGATCAGAATCATCCCACCCAAGGGGTGAGACAGCTGAGGTATTGATCCTCCAACTCTCTCCATCAGTCACTGGTTGAGGGCTGCCCCCAAGGGGCCTAAATTCCCTGGCACTCTGGGTAGAGCAGGCCCCATCCCTAAAGAGATATTAGGTGCCTGATGTTGAGGCCTGAGGGGGCCATGGTAGGCCCTAGACAGTATCTACTATAGGGGACTTGGGGGTCAAGCCATGGAGAGATAAAAGTGAAGTATCTCAGGTGGGTGGGAAGAAGGGACCAAGATGTGGGAGAATGATGAAGAGACAGAGTGTCTGTATTTTGTTTTTAATTTTAACTATTTATCTATTTATTTAGTGGAGGCACTGCAGATTGAACCAAGGACCTTGTGCATGCTAAGCATGCACTCTACCACTAAACTATACCCTCCCCCCAGGGTGTCTGTATTATTAACCCCCACTTCCACAGAGGAGGAAACTTGGACCCAAAGAGGTAGTCATTTGACCATATTTCCCAGGACTGTGTGGCCTCCTGTGAGAGGACCCTCAGGGCTGGGACAGAAGACAGGTCTTAGCTTTGATGAGAAGAGAACAGCAGGCCCCACTCCAAGTTCTCCAGGTGGGACTACAGCCACTAGCTTGGACATCGTGTAGAAGCGACTCAGGCTTCCTAGCAGTATAATGGGACCAGACCCAAGGAGCTACTGAACTATGACACTGATCCTAGCCCCAAGGGAAACAGCAGTGAGAACCAAGCTGTGTGAATTTCTGGCAGGCCTCTTACAGTTGCAAAGGACAGAGAATCCAATTCAAATTAACTAACGCAAACAAGGGTATTTATTAACTCATGAAAGGAAACGTTGAGGGGGGTGTCCTTCAGGCATAGCTGGATCCAGGGCCTCAAATGACATCCTCAGGATGGAGTCTCTCACTTAACTCTCAGTTCTACCAGCAGGCTTCTCTGTGTAGTGCCAAGATATCCCCAGCTTTGTCCAGCTGAAAGCCCCAAGCTATCATTGGCCTAAGCTTTGGTCACATATCCATCTGGAATCAGTCCCTGTGGCCAGAGAGATAGACTGTGTTGATTGGCTAGAAACTTAACCACTACTCTTATAAATGACCCACTGGCTTTATCATCATGTAACGAACTCCCTGCTCTATGCTCTGCCGTGCTCAGCCCAGTTCTGCCCATTCCAGCTCTGCCCAGCCCAACCCAGTCCTCCGCTGCCCTGCCCTGCCCAGGAGGGAGTTCTGCAGGGATAGCAACAGAGTATGGTCCACCAACATAGAGCCTGGCAGAATCAGCATTTAGTACACTTTTATGAACTGCATGTACGATTGTGTCTGTACCTATGGGGAGATTTGCATAGGGAAGGGTGTCTCTTGGTTCCCCTGAGGCTCTGATCTCAGAGTAGGGAGGACTGTTGGGTCAGGGGGACAAGGGACAGTTGCAGTAACACAGAGTAGATGGTGCAGCAACCTGGTCTCATTTTGGTTAGTGGGGAAGAAGGGGCAGGATTGATGTGGGAGGGAGCAAGAAGCTTATGGAAAATACAATTTCCCAGTTGGAAAGGGAAAGGAGGGATCTTAACTCAGTACCAGTTAACAATCCCAAGACACACCTTGGGCCTGCCCCTCCTCATCTTCTGATGGCATCCAGTCCTGAGACACAGACTAAGGCCAAACTCCTCAATGAGCCTTCGTCTTACTGATGAGCCCTTCAGGATCTGGACCCAATCCATAATACTACTGATACTAAGCTGGGCGTATGGCTGCCTAAAATAAAGAACTACATTTCCCAGGCTCCCTTGCAGGTAGATGTGGTCACATGACTGTATAAGCAGCTGTGGTATGTGCAACTTTGAGGAAGTGGGGGGTGCCTTTCTGTTTCCTACTGTTGCAATGTAGATGTGATGGCTGGAACTCTATCAGCCATATTGGGCCATGACATTGTCTTGGAACTAGAGGCCTTGAATGGTAGGGCAACAAAATAGAAGGAACTTGGGTCTCACATACCATGGAAGTCTGCGCTATCCATGGACTGACCAGTGTTTTGATCACTTGCTATTTGCCCTACTGAAAGAGGAATCACATGCCCTAAATAGTATAGATGGCCAAACACATGACACCTAACATTGGATAGCTGAGCTCATCATCATTTAATTAGTCACAAATACTCACAGGCCAGAATTGGAAGAGGACATTGTACACAATGTAGAGCCATATGTGGGAGGTGCACTTGGGAGCAGAGCCAAGAAGTAAGGGCTACGAGAGGTGGACTTGGTGGTGACAAAAGGGTGGGGTGACCTCTGGTTCCCATAGGAGGATGTGATTGGCTTGTTTGAATAACTTCTTGGTGTGGCAGAGAGGTGAAACCCATTAGGGGACCAGATGAGGTGTGGCTGGTCTGGGTGATAGAGAACTAGTCAGGTGGGGAGCCTTTCCCACTGGTTGGGGTAGGGGTGCCTATCTGACAAAAGCACAGAAACTCACATCTAGGCCTTTGGGGCCCTGTGAGGCTCAAAGACACCAAAGCAACACATGGAATTTCAGGCCTTTTCACACAAACAGTGCCAGTCAGCCTGACAGTGAGAGAAAAACATATCTCTCTTGTTTGAGTCATCACTTCTCTTTTATTTCTTTTCTTCTCTTTTAAAAACTGAATCTCGTCCTAGTGGACACAGGGGATACCCACAGACGTGAGAGTTGAAGCCACAGCACGGGTGCTGTTTGCCAAAGAGAAAGCTTAGAAGGAGAAGAGAAGGGAGTCAAAGGGAGATCCCTCAAGGGTGCTTATACTTGAGGTGGGGGCAGAAGAGAAGCACGCGATGGCTGTGGAGAAGGAGGGTGAGAAAGGAACCTGAAGGTATCTGGTAAAACTGAAGATGTGCCTGCCATGTACTTGTGATGGTTCATGTGTATGTGTCAAATATAAAATCATATGATAACATTTTATTGGGTCATGGGATGCCCGGATTAAACATTCTTTCTGGGCTCCTCAGTCCGGTGTTTCCAGAGGAGATTAGCATTTGAATCCATGGACTCAATAAGCTAGATGGCCCTCCCCAGTGTGCCTGGGCATCAACTGAAAGGCAGAGGAAGGAGGAACTCATCCCTTTTACCGTCCTGTGGGGACATGCGTCTTCTCTTGCATCAGGACTGGGACGTACACCATTGGTTCTTCTGGTTCTCAGGCCTCAGACTGGAATTATACCACCAGCTTTCCTGGGTCCCCAGCTTCCAGACAGCAGCTCATGGGACTTAGCCTCTAAAATCACATGAGTCATTTCCTCATAATAAATCTCCTTGTATGTATAGATTTTATATATGTAAAAGGATATACATATCTCAGCTGTATTATATATGTATACATATATACAGGTATATATTTCCTACATATGTATATGTGTATATATACATATGTATAGTATCTCCTTGAACAACATGGATCCACTTATATGCAGATTCTTTTCATTGAATTTGTACTACAGTTGTACATGATCTATGGTGGGTTGAATCTGCAAACCTGGAACCTCAGATTCGCAGGGCCAACTGTAGAGTTATACACGGATTTTTGACTGTGCAGAGGGTCAGCCCCCTAACCCCCAGGCTGTTCAAGGGTTATATATATATATATATATATCTCCAAGATCATTCTGCATTACAAACAGCCCCAAACGTCAGTGACTAACATCGGAGCTGGTCATCCCCACGACAGAATCTCAACAGATAAGCAGCAGGACCTCTGAGCCACAGAGTCACCCAGGGACCCCGTCCAACAGGGGCTGCACCGTCTTGAACAGCAAGCAGTCCTTGCTCAGCTGATCCTGTGACACAGCCAGATTCGCCAT